GTCAACGTCTCAAGTGAACCAACGTTTATCCATCAGACGCTGACTTTAGATGATTTCTGGTTGCAATTCATCCGGATACATTGACGTGAATCGAAGGGAGTCGAGAATGAAGCAGATTTTCAGCGCAACGTATATTATTTTGAATTTAACAATAAAGCTTTGCTGTAAGTAGTGCATGAATTTGGATCAACAAATTCTTTTTTACCTGCTAAATAATTACAGTTTATCGCGCCAGACACTATCTTAATTCCTTTGCGAGTATGTTCATTTATATTATCTTTCCAGGTGTATTGGCTGAAAGTGACGTTTCACAGTCACCTCAGGTCGTGACAGGGAATGAAAATGGAAACGTATCTATGGAGTGCAACACCACTGTGTCCGGCCCAACCTTTCATTGGTACACACAGTATGGAAACGGTTCCATCCGGTTCTTGGTTTTGGGAACAAAAGACATCAATGTGAAGGACAGGATAAGCGCTTTGGCTAATACAAGACAGAGAAACTGCACTCTAACAATCCAAGACCTGCGAGTGTCAGACACCGCCACTTACTTCTGTGCGGAAGGCACAGTGCTGTGTGTCTAAGAGGTACCTGTACAAAAACATGTTGGTTTTACTGCAACTCAACGGTTAGAGCACTCGCTTCGCAAACGAAATAATTGGGTTCAATACCGGGCAGTGCCAAATGTTGGCCAAGTTTCGTTACTCCACATGCGTCTGTCTATCCAGCAGTAAGTCGGAATATGGTTGTTAGTTGATTGACCGATCGTTTTTCCGATGGTGATAATTCCTATAAAGAGAGAAAAAATTTCAATGCACAACTGTGTGTGGGACACTGCTACGCGCAAACGGCTGCGACATTTCGCCGTTAACATAAACAGTCAACTTACTTCACCGTACAACCTACCAAATGCTATGTGTCATCGAATAGGTGATGAAGCGCTGTATTAAATGCAAAGATCCTTATTATTTTTAATGGTTTACTGAGGCGGAACGAGGAACCCGATTCACAGCAGTTTGGATGATCTCTTTTTTCGGGTGTAATAATCCATCAACAAAATGGATCACTCGATCAAAGACTGTTTGAGAGACGCTGCACTATGCACTTGGCTGCCGGGTGTTGTCCACAAAATACACTGTCGATGCACTTTACACGGTACCCTCGGAGGACCGTACAGTCGACTCGGACAAGTGGTAAATCGTTATGTTAATTACTTTTATTATAACCCAAAGGTTGGTTTAGATAATCATATGCATGGAAATGGTTTCCACATATGTCAGACACCAGTTTAACAAAAATACATGATTATGTATGTAGGATCATTCCGCGAAATAAATCGTAAAACACAGTAACTTGAAGAAATGAGTTATCGTAGAAAACTTGTACTTTGTACCCAAACTGCTGAAACCCAGATGCATAGAGCGGAAAGTGACGGAAGGGAAACTTTCAAATAATTGGGGCAGAGACATCTGAGAAACTGCTGACTTCACGTGGCTCCTCGCCTTTCGCTTTGAACCCTCTCAATGGCTCGTTTCACCTCGTTATCAAATTGACAGCTGCCCCCGGGGATGTGATGGCAGCACACATTAGACTTGTGTCTCTAGCCGTCTGCACACACTCAAGGCTTCCACTGAATACACCGTCCTGCCTTCTGGTGATTGTCTATAACACAATAATCCTTGACATTTAGTAGAGCGAATAATTTCGCCTCTGAGATGTCTCAATGCGCTTCACAGAATATACTGTAACATAGAGTGACTGTGCATTTTGAAGACGAAATGCGTAAATGCATTAAAAATGCGTGTAACTTGCTTCGGGTTTCAGACACCCGATTGAGCACAGCACATCACTGCTGGAAGAGAACCAATCAAAGAGTGAGACGGCAGAGCAGAGAACATGACGCAGAGACTCAAGATTCTTACGTAAACCTCAGACCTGATCCCTCACAGTATAGGGTAACTTCGGTAGATTACTTCCTGTTCAGTGCTCCTCACTATATCTTACTCTCTGCCAGCCAACATTCTCCAACTAAACCATTATCGTTCTCTCAACGTCCGTGACATTAAATGCACATGATAATGTATATCTGTGTGGTAGCAGCTATCATTGCCTTGTCAGGTAAGCCATAAAATCATTCTATCATTCTATTTCCTGCACATATTATCAAATGCTTATGTTTTATTTAAGGATTTTATGAAATACTCTACCGTAGAAGGCTGTAGATGCTCAGTCCATGTGCAGATTCAAGGCTGCGATTGAGAGATTTCTAAAGGATGGAGGGATTAAGGGACATGGGGCAAAAGCGAGCAGATGGAGTTAGGTTAGAAGATGAGCCATGTTATTATTGAATGGCGAGGCAGGCTCGAGGGACCGGAAGGCCTATTCCTGCTCCTAATTCCTATGTTCCTATGTTTTTCTGTTTATTGCATAAAAAGCCAATACGGTCCATGCCTCATGGAGACATCTAGCTCAACGGATAGCGAACTGGCCTCGCAAGCGAAAGGATCTGGGTCCCGATTCCCGGACAGACAGGGCGTAACCTTATGAATTTTTCCATACACCACAAATACACACCTCTGTTTACCTTGCAGTCAGTTGGTAGCCGTTTGTTAAGCGATTGTTGGATCACATTTCGACGGCAAATCACCCTTTAGAAAAACATATACTGATAATAACATTAAGAATGCTGAAATTTATTCAATAGCTATTTTGGGGAGAATGTTGTGCGCAATTAACTGCCACGTATCGCCCACAAACTACAAAGCAGATGTATATTCTGTGAAGCATTTGCAGATGTCTCAACCAAGTGATAAGCGGTTATGTCAAATCCAATTATTATTTTTATTATTATTGCTGTTGAACTCTGATATCTGTCTACTTCGCAGGACATTGTGGAGGAGATTCTGTGACGCAGCGCCAATCTACTGTGATAACGAATGAAGGGGATGATGTTTATCTGCAGTGTAATTACACAACAACACGCATCAACACTCCCTATCTGTTCTGGTACCGTCACTATCCCAACAATGCTCCAGAATATATCCTGAGCACAGACACCAAAAACAGGATCAAGGACCACGCGGACTTCGCAAAAGAACGTTTCTCAACGAATGTGTCTGAAGTGGAGAGAACCGTCCCATTAAATATAATCCAAGTGAGAGTTACAGACTCCGCGGGATATTACTGTGCACTGAGCCCCACAGAGGTACAGATCAGCGATTCTGCCCGACAAGAACTGCCTGTAGCTAAATGTTTATAGCACTCGCATCGAAAGCAACCAAGCAAGCAAGATACGTGGGTTCGATTCACGGCAAAGTGTTTTGTGGCGTTTCGAAGATCTGATTGTGCACTGTATTAAATGCAACGATACTTATTATTATTAAGTACGATCATGTTATTTTCACATAAGTAACTTCATATATTTTGCATTCTGCGGAGAACTGCACATGGAATTGTCTTCCTCTGATATTTGAATAAGTAGGAATAAATAAGAAATATTAACTTGCATTTACGTAGCGACACTCATAACGGGAAAGCTATGATGGGCCGAAATCAATTCGCTATCAACTGTCTCCAAACCTACATGTGCTGTAGCTGCAATCCACCAGCACTAAAATCACACATAACATGAGCAGCGACTGACATAACTTGTCATGTTCCTTTCTGTAAGTACGTTCATTGGCAGCAATAACAGGTGCTTCCTGTTACAGTTCACATAGTTCACTAATATACACTGTTGCTGCTTCAGCTGACATTTAAAAAACATGATTATCACAAAACTTAGCTGGTGCAAGAAACATTATTTGTGTCAATTTTTATGTTTACTATCTGTCCCCCCAAAAAGGCAGCCACCTTTATGTGGATCTCACGACGGTAACAAAGGTAGTACATTTTGATATGAGCAATATCGTCATTTATATTGGTTTAATTGGAAAAATAATATAATAATAATAAACTTTGCATTTGATATAGCGATTTTCACGTCGGGAGGACGCCCCATAGCGCTTCACAGAACACACTGTAAAGTGAATTGACTGTATATTTGTGTGCGAGCGCGGCAGTCAATTGCGCACAGCAATGTCCCACAAACAGTCGTAGATTGAAAATGACCAACTTATTATCGTTTTTGGTTTTGGAGGTGTTAAAACTGACCTATTTAAACTTAATGGAATAACTGAAGAATTGTCTTGGATATAATGTGAGCTCAAACTGCAGAACTGGGTCCAGAACCAACAACATTCAGAATCACAAGTGAAATTACGAGTAACAGAGAGAGATTATCTCTTCAGCCTTAATGATAGAAAATAAAACGTTATTTTCTTAAGCTAGGCTGCATGGTTCAAAATAAACCAAATGAATGCGTTTATAAAAATAAAGAAAATAATAAGCAGCTTTACGTTTGATATAGCGCCTTATCGTGTCATGGGGCCGTGTGACAGTGCTTCACAGCGTATACATTAAAGAAAATTGTGAACGGGTGAAACGCGACTACTCACACCCTAGCCCAGATCCATTGGCTTCCAATCCGCGGCAGATCAATTTGACGATCCTCATAAGAGAAAGTAACAACAACAGATGAAGGTTGTCACTCAGCCTTGAAGAAAGAAGTTGACACTTGAGATGAGGTTGTATGGGTCATCGATTCATCAAATAAATGCATTCATTATAACATTTAAAATAAAAATAAGGTTTTAATTTGATGTCGTGCTGGATCACGTCTTGGAGATATCACAAAGCGTTTCACATACTACACTATAAAGGTAATTGTTAGGGGTTGAAACGTTCGTCAACGTTCCCATCCAAGCCCAGACCCAATGGCTCCCAATCGCCAGCAGATCAAGTTCAAGATTCTCTGGTTAGTGGGAAATGCCTACAATTGGAGACGATAAACCACTGAACCCGTCACGTCAGCCGCTTCCTCACAACTTGTCACTGAAGCAGCGACACAGCGATATACAAAGCAATTGAGTCCATTATCGGTCCACACGTCAGCAGCCAACATGACAGCTCTCTTCCAGTTACTGATAGCAATCCTCACCATAGCCAGTAAGTATGTGTGGACATGCCCAGCGCATGATTTGTACACTATAAAATATCAGTTGCTTAATATTTAGAGCAATCGGCTTGCAAGCGAACGGACCTGTGTTCGTTTCTCGGGCAATCGAAACTTTTAATAAGTTTCACGCTTCTCTTTTTATTGGGAAACCGATTGTTCGTCGATTAGCGAATCGCTATCCGAGGGTAACAACCCATTAAAAAAAAATCAATTAACTGTAATCAGATCATTCAATCTATGATCTGTTGTTAATGTTGTTGGACAATGCTGTGTTTACTTAGCTGTTCAGTTTCGTCTAAAATATTTAGTCAATTCGGTTTACAATGTATTCTCTGGGCTCTTTGAGACATAAACTGCGTGATAAGGCGCTATATAAATAGAATAATTATCAACAGTACAACTCATTGAAATATCACTTAAATTTGCTCAGCAAAATGTGTTGTTTTTGCTGTTCTTGTAGAAGTCGGCGGACAAGAGGTTGTATCACAATATCCTCCGGAGGTAACAGATTTTGAAGGAAAAGACGTGACACTAAAATGTAATATTTCAAGGTTGGACACTGCCTTCTGGTACAGGCAATATCCCGATGGAAACCTTCAGTACTTGTTCAGGATATATGGCTCTGGAAAGGTGGACAAAACTCCTGATCTACCGGAACGTTTCACAGCCGAGCAGATCAAGGAGAATAAAGTAATTAAGATGCAGATATACGGGGCTGTTATGGGTGACAGCGCTGTGTATCACTGTGCCCTAAACCCCACACTGCTACAGGAAGGCAGATACCCCGTACAAAAACTCAGCAGACAATAATATCTTGCTCTCACACATTTAACATGTGCTTTAAACAGACTGAAATATGCAATTAAAACAGGGAGATTGGTGTAGCTCTGTGTTTATAGCACTTGCCTCACAATCGACAGACGTGGGTTTATTGCCAAGAGAACTGATCATGGTGCAACTTTCCTTATTCCACCTTCCCGTCTCTGTTTACCATCAGAAAGTAGGAAGCAGGTTGTCAATCGATTGGCCGATCGATTTTCCAGAGTTAATAATTCCTTCAGAATAATCGTGTTAATAGTAAATTGTTCACTTCATCCAATGGGACACCGATATTTACAATTTGCTGCCGTGCTTGGCCCTCACAATATGCAGTCAATTGATTGACTGTATATTGAAGGAAGCACTGTAGTGGCGTCTCGAAGATGTGATATGGCGCTGTATCAAATGCAACTATTATTTTTCTTGTTATTAACTGTAGTCATGTTATCATTCCAGTAATAATAAAAAAATGTCTTGCATTCTGCGGAGCGCTGCCATGTGCAATATTCTTACTATGCTGCATTAGTAAGTAAGAAAACATCAAAACAAACAATTTCCATTTATATTGCTGACACAGAAACTATTTTCTCTATCTATAGAGAAACTGCTTCTTCTGGTGGTTGGCGGCATGCAGAATGAGGTTGCATCGGAGCCAGTCCAGTTCGCAGAAAAAAATTTCAGGAAAAAATTCAAGAAATCTGGAAAACTTCCACAAAGATGCTGCAGAGATTGATTCCATTCATGTTTCCCAGACTGAGATGGATACATTTATTTTAGCTCAGAATTTCAAGGAATACGGAGAAAAGGTTGCAATGTGTGTTGAGAGATAAATCAGCCATGATGTAATGTAACGTTGGAACAGGCTCAAGGAGCTGATGGTCTGCTCCTATTACTATTTAGCGCTTTACACGTTGGGGAGCGTCTTGGTGAATCAAAAAAGAAAGAAACCAATTTGGGGAATTTACGTTAAAGAAGGATGAATTTTAACTTTCATTTTAAGTTTATTGAGCACATTTGCCTCGGGACGTCCGCCTGACACGAACGGACTTACCTGAATGCCCCTCTGATGTTACTCTGTTTTAAAATGCTATACGTCAGCGAAGTGTTCAGTCAAATAATCTAATCGATGAAGTAAAAAGTTAGTGAATTGAATTAAATTGGGGGAGCAAGTGTTTGCACAGAGACACGTCAAATTAAGGAAATGTGAATGACATCGAATGGTCGAATGCTCCAGGGAAGACCAGAAAATATGAGGAACGAGAGGGGAGATGAGACTAATGTATACAATTTCAGTGGAGAAACAGCACCAGGGAAAGTCAAGTCGGGACCATAGCAAATATGCTTCGAACCCTCTCCAATTGCAAACGTGCTGTAGCTACAATCTACCAGCAGATGGCGGACTAAAGAAACACATGCAACATGAGCTGCAACTTACATGACTTGTCACGCTCCATTCGGTAACTAGTTTCCTTTGCAGCAGTAACAGGTGCTTCCTGTTGTGCTTGACATAGTTCACTCATATACACTATTGCTGCTTCAAATGTAATTTACAAATGTTGTCTAAAGTATTAACACAAGGCTTAGGTTTCTCAGGAAATAATTTCTATCTCACATATTTTATATTGTGCCCTTTTCACAAATAGCAGCCGCTGTTAAGTTGTATTCTCCACTGTATTGCAATTCTCTCTTGAAAGTTGTTATATTATCGGCTTCTGCCACCCTTTCAGGCAATGCATTATAGATCAGAACCACTCGCTGTGTGAAAAAAATGCTTCTCCTCTCCTCAATGCTTATTCAGGCTACTACACTAAACGTGAATATTAAGCTATTTAATACGTTTATTACCATATAATTAAAATATACTTTGATATTTCATCCCGCAACTGAAACATTGAAAAGCCACCGAAGTGCTCACTGTGTAATACATATTGGATTATGTTCTGATGTTCTGGGCTGACACTCTAGGGCAGGCCTGGCTGTCTGTATTGTCGGTGAAGCTTGTCCTACCGAGGAGATACTAAACCGAGGTCCAGACATCTTGCCTGATGGGACTATAATGATGCCATAGCACTGCTCGAGAAAGGACAAGGTTTCTACCGATGTCTGGACAGATTTTCTATCGGTAAAATTCGTCTTTCATTCATAACTGTTTGTGGAACATTGTTGTACACAAATTGGAGGCCACGTTGACAAACAATCTGCCTCTGTATTCGACATTAAAACCTGCGAGGAGGTTTGAGGCGAATCTACGAAATGACAAGACTGTGATCGATGAAAGCGTTTCTCAAACACGAATAATCAACACAATTGTAAGGTCATGTATTATTCAATATTGTAACAATATCGATAATAATAACAAAGGTTGCATTTGCTATACTGCCATATTAAGTCATTGAGACGTCTCAAAGATCGTCACAGAATATACCGAAAAGTGGAGTACTATATTCTTTTATGCCAATTGTGTACAGCTGTGTACCACAAAAAGTTGTGGGTTGAGTTGCCTTATTTTATGGCACTGTGTGTGTGGCAGTGTGTGGGGGGTGAGGTAGAGCGGGGGATTGGGTAGTCATGGGCGTTAGATTGTATTGTGTGGGACAAACGTGGTAGCTAACTGTGTAAAAGATCGGCCCACAAAAATTTGTGGATTGAGTGACCTGATTTTGTGGCACTGTGTGTGTTTGTGTGGGGGAGGGGAGGGGGCGGGGCGCTGTGTGGGCGGGGCGTTGTAATGCAACGGCAGTGATTGGGCGATGCGGCTCAGTGCGGGCGGAGCAGAGTCTGAGTGACGTATTTCTGTGGGCGTGGCAGTGGCTGTGTGGGCGTGGCTCTGTGAGGGCGGGACAGTGACTGAGTGACGTAGCTCTGTGGGCGTGACAGTGGCTGTGTGGGCGGGGCTCTGTGTGGGCGGGGCTGTGACTGTGTGGCTACTGAGCCCAAAAGCCCCATCAATCCACATTGGGGAGTTAATGTCAGACACGGGATCAGGATGCTCATGTGGGAGACATGTGCTGTGCTCTCAATCACTCTCAGCTTACTTTGCCGTTAGTATCTTTTGTATATCTTCTTTTGTTAACATCTTGTTATACCTTTCTCAACAATATAACATTAATAATCCTTTGATTAGATGTTGCGCCTTTCCATATATTCGAGACGATTGTCAGCAGCTCTTTTGATCAAATAGTCTCATCGATTGAGTGTCCAAATTATTATCTATTTTATTATTGATATATCATTGAAGGGCTAATTACCGCTGGTAAAGAGAGATGCCAATCGAGTAGCAAACTTGTTTCTATTTACTGCTTGGTAAACAGGGGCGTATGGAGCAAGTAAAGTTGCCTAAGCTTTCGCTCTGCCCTGCTATAAAAGCCAGATCCACTTGCTTGTGAGGCGATTGCTCTCAACACTACACTGCAGGAATCCACAGAAGACAATCTCAACACTATTTTCTTTTAAATCCCAGGAAACAGCCTGCAAGACATTGGGAATCAAACGATTGCTGAAATATCAGTTGAAGAGGGAAAGGATGTGAAATTATCCTGCACCTTAAAGAAAATCAGTGATGCCAACTATCTTTACTGGTACCGACAAGCTTCCAGAAACACTCCTGTCTACATACTTTACTCTATTGCAGGGAAGGATTATATGAGCCCTGACTTCCCAGATCGATTTTCCTCCAAAGTCAATAAAACTAATGAAGATTTCGAACTGAGTATTGTCACCGTCCTGATCAGGGACAGTGCCGTGTATTACTGCGGCAAAGAGCCCACACTGCTGCCGAGCTATGGCGACTCCGTACAAAAACTCCAACTGGTTGTTTTGCTGCTGAACCGCCAGGGGGCGCCATTGCATAAAACTGACTTTATATCTGTTTAAATACAGAGAAAACCGGTCAAGCCTTTGGAGACGCATGAAAAAGTATTGTTTATTCTTTTATAATGCAAGCTGCACTTAAAACATGATCATTCTAATAAATTAGAGTGGAACATGTCGAAAGTCCTGTAGTCATTGGTTGCAGGTTAGAGTATTTACCTCGCAAGCAAGAGGACCTGGGTTCGATTCTCGGATGGGATTAAACAGTGGCCTAAATTCTTTGCTCCACATGCACGCCTCTGTATACCTAGCAGTAATATGAACACGATTTGTAAGTCGACTGGTGGATGGCTTTTCAAGCAGCATCAATCCATTGAAAATAAAATATGTTCTCTCAATCTGTAACTGTTTGTGGGCAATATATTATCACTTTTCACCCCCAAAATTTCACAATCACAACACTGTACTGTATATTCTGCAAAGCAAATAAGACGTCTCAACGGCATTGTTAATAAATGGCATGGTACCAAGTGAAAACATTTATGGGTTCACAGTAACAAATATATTTCGCTGTCTGAACACTGGGTGACACTGGTTCGCTGGTATTTTGACCAGACACCACTGGCTTGAAAGCGTGCGAAAAATGGTCCAATAAAGCATGTTTCTGTTCCCCACTTCTAATCATTTTCAGAGTGTTACCAGCCGCATACCTTTGCTTGGTTTACACTTTCCATTCTGAACAACAGATACACTCGAAACGTAGAGTATTGGAAACAAAGTTTATTACAAAATTGTAGGCGATCACAGTCGACACAATGATAGGGAGTATCAGGATTCTCTCACTGTTCTGCTCCCACGTTCACTGGAAAATTATTACTTATATCCTATACTATCCTAAACCTGTTTGTACGGAACCCAGAGAAACTCTTTATCTCATTCCCTTCATCACAAAGTTCTTCACACACTATTCCTGCAAGTCTACCAATTATCAAGATACGGGGTCTCCGCCGAACTACATGTTGGTCCTATAGTTTAATGGTTAGAACTATCTCCTCGCAAGCAGGAAAACGAATGGCGCATCGGTATCCGGGGTAATAGTAACTTACAAAATGTTGTGAATTGTTCACCCAATCATCGACTGTTTGTGTGCTTCTGCAATGCAAACGTGGCTACCACGCATC